CGGCCTGCCACTCCCCCAGCCGCTCCCCGATGGGGAAGCGTGCGATCATCCCGTGGATCTTGGCCCGCCATTCGCTCATGTAGTCCTCGATGTCGAACACGAAGGGCTGCTGGCCGAAGTTGGCGTCCACGATCTCTCCGGGCGTCTGGAGCCCCACAGTGGGGTACAGGTTGGGCTGGCGGGGTTGGGAAGAAGAAGACTGATTCGATTAGAGGACAGAAAACAACACACAGCTGAGTCAGCAGGTTCATTTTCCCATCTAGATTCTTCAAATGGCTTATTAACACACATCTCTGTGCATTAAACAGAAAAGAAAATATCTAATTTCTTTCATTTAAACTGTGAATACTTCCTTCAGCTATTTAATTTTGTGTAAAAATGTGTAAACAAGAGGCAACACAACTTTACACATGTTCATAGACACAAAAAAGCAGCATATTGTTAATAAAATCCTTCTAAAATTACACATAACATAAAGTATTTTAATTTAAAAGACGTGATATTACTAGATATGTCTGTTTTAATTAATTAATGTATTTAAATAGTTATTATCTGCATTTATTTAACATATGTAGAGTCATTTTTAGTTTTTTTATATAAAAAAACAAATAAATAAATACACCCAATGTTGGATGTTGGAGCTTTTGGTAATAAAGTTGGCCTGGCCATCCTGTCTATACTGCCACCTGGTGGACGTGAGGCCAAACAACCATGACTGATTATGCAGAGAAAGGGAAAATCAGCGATGCCCACGTTTTAAAAAACAGATTCCAGACAGGGAATTTCATAAATCATTCTAATAAACCACAGTTTGTGATTGGAAAAAAAACTTGACTAACACCCTGAATCTGATCTGCACTCTCCACTCGGCTCATAGATGACGATGAGCGAGTCTGTTTACTCATAAAACAGCCTTTCATCAGAGAAAAGTGGCTGTGAGTGACAGAATAACATGCAAAAGCTTAATAAACCAAACACAAAAACAATTAAATTAACACCATTCAAACACCTATAATGTGAAAACTGGATAACAAATTTGACCATTTTCCTTAAAACTGAAAATTTAACATTACATCAGGCCTGATCACATTTAGAAAAACTGACAGGATCAAAAATGGCTGTTTTAATGGGATCAAGGGGTCATTTTTGTCCCCAAATTACTTAAAAGGTAGTCAATTACATACCTGATACTACACAAAAAAAATTATAATGACTGAAAGTCAGATGACATTTTCAACCCACAACCAACCAATATTATACATATATGGAAAATAATTACTTTTTGTGTTTTCTAATGGAAAATATCCCTGTAGTGTAACCAAACAGGCATTTAAAGGGCTAACATCGTGACAATCACAAGAATATATATTTTTGTATCATAAGTGAAGGTTATTAAAAGATTAAGCCCAAAAAGCTGCAAAAATCTAGTAATTTGTTGAATTTCTGAGCAGTGTTAGTACATTTTTGGCCTGAACGACTATTTACGGGAGTGAATTTGTTCCACACTGTTGCAAACATAAAAAAAGAGATTGTGAAACAAAAAAAGAGACGTGAACATGTGAAGGTCAGACAAAGAGGGATGAATGCCCAGAATCAGCTCAGTGATGGACGCAGGTTAAATGCTAAACATCAGGATTTGACCTGGCGGGCAGAGTCTGAACCTCAATCCCAATCCGATCATTTTTCTGGGACTTCTTCTGAGATGTGGAGCTCCTGGTCTAATCTTAACTTTATTTGGGTGGTGATTGTGTTACACAACTCCGGCTCATTGCACACTACACACTTTAAGTTCACTGCATCCTAAAGTTTATTTGTACTACAGGATATTCATCACTGACCCTAAACAGTGCTTGATTGACACTTTTCTGTAATTAAGAATATTTTCTCTGCTTTTTATTACTATTTTAATATAACATTCCTTATCTTGTAATTGTACATATCTAAAAATAAGCTTTCTAACCAACATAAGTTGCCCAAACGAGGCACTTCAGTGGGTACTTACAGGGAGGTCAGTGAAGGCCACACCTGGGGAGACAGAGAACATGAGGTTAGATCGGATTGGCGGCT